AATGAAATCACATTTATTGGTTGTTAGTGTTGCCATCATTGGCTTTCTTTATTTGCATGTAATATCAATCTTTCAAACTTTTATCTATACTATAAATACCATCATTGATTAGATATGTGATTTGGTTATATTGAAGAGAAATATACAGAGAGTGTGACACTTTTTATATTACACAAAGTAATCAAGTTCATTTCTTAGCAATTACATGCTATGCATATTTAGGTGGAAAAGCTTGGGTCTAGATTTTGTTTTAAATTTGAATCTGAATTCTATTATTTTGACATTATGTATAAAGCTAGTTATTTTTGTGCATCTATAAGTCATGTTAAATGGGTTTTCTAATGTTAAATTTTTAGATTGGTTTTAATTTTAATGTTTTTATATTTTTGTTTGCCAACTTTTCAAAATTAAATTTTAAATTGTAATGAATTTTTTTCATATTTTTAGGGTATGTTTTTTGAAAGAAAGCACTTGATTAAATTTATGGCTGTTATTTTATTTTAATCTTAAATTTTGTTTGGTTTCTTACATTTAAAATAAGTCATTCTTATTTAAGATGACTTTTGTCGTATTGTTTATATGAAGCAATGATATTTTATATTATATATATTATATATATATATATATATAATAATTAGTTTAATTGATTTTTAATTATATATATATATATATATATATATATTGAAGATTATTATTTTTTGAATAGTAAAGTAATAATTTTGAAATATATTAAAATTTTCATAAAAAGTGATTAGAAATGTGTTTTTTAAGGATGCTAATGTTGATGCTTTGGAGAAATATCCTGCTGCACTGAAGCAGTGCACCACTGCACTTTAAGGGTGTAACTAGGCTGGGGAGCATCACATGCCTTACATCATTTCGGGTGGATCTATCTAATCAAATCTTAATAATGGGGTCGAATATTGTTGTGATTTTGTTAAATTATGGTTGAATTTGCACTAAAAATCTAAAATATAATTACTAATATTCGGAAAACATTTATGTAGTTATGATTTTAATCTTAAACACTATAACTTAATAATCTCTTTTTTTTGTGCAAGATGTAAATATTTAAGAAGGTAAATAAAATTATTTAAATAGTAATACTAGTTATAGTTTGTACCAATGGATAGGAAGGTGTAAGAAAAAATGAGATTTAGAAAAGGATACAAGAAGCACTAAAATATTTAAATAGATTAAAATAATAAATTAAACTTAAAAATAGGTAACATTCCTTGGTGTATTAAATTTATCTAGCTTTGATTAGGACAAGTGAATAATGTAGAGAAGCTACATAAGTTTTTAATTGTTATTGCTTTTTTTTATAGCACATAATAGAATTTTAAGATTATACAACTATTTGGTGCATTTCTTATTGCTCACGAGCTTATATATGTATTTGCATATATATATATATATATATATATATATGTATATCTGTTGAAGATTTTTCGTGTTTTTACTTCTTTTACATTACTGTTTATAAAATTATTATAAGTTCTTCAATAATTTTATCTTATTGATAGAAAACTATATGAATTGTTTGAGTGTCTTTAAAATTTTTCTTGAGCATATATTTTTATGTATCTTTTAAATATATAATACTCAAGACCATTTTCTTGATTTTATTTGTTTTTTTTATTTATTTTATTTAGCCATCAAGTATTTGTTTTTCTTTTTTATGAAAAGTTGTGGTTCTTATGCAATTAATTTAAAATAATGTATAAGTTGCAATGATTTTTTTTTGTATACTGAGTCTAAGCTGGAGATTTTTTTTAATGTCAATTTAAATGTAAGTCATGATTTTAAATTTATTTTGTTATGTAGTACCTTGTTTAAGTTTTATCATATCTATTTTGAGATTTTACTTACTCAGAGTCATTTTTGTAGAATAATTTAAATAATTTTTGCTTTTAATGAAAGACATGGTTAGTGATTCAGGACAGTGTCTTGTTAAACTTCAACTCATAATGAATCAGCAATGATTATATAGTGCCAAAAGACGAAGATCAATACAACTTGTATCTTAGCATTGAATTAAATTTCTTCATTGATTCTTCAAAAATCATTTAAGAAACAAATATTGTTTTTATTAGTCTAATAAGAGGTCTTGAAATTTTAAAAATTCATTTTAATTTTTAATTTTTGCATGGAATACGTTATTTTATTTCAATTTGTTATTTATATGCCAAATCATCAAAAGCTTAATATTCTCTTGGTTCATGGAACAATTTTAGTTTTTTATGATTTTATGCTCAACTTTTTATAATCTAATTTTTAAAATATTTTTTGCAGTTTCTTCAACAATGGAAATAAAAACATATATTTGTTGAGAATTCTATGGTCTTTAATCTGTATAATATATCTTTCTTCAAATACAAAATATTAGTTTATCTTTTAACTTAGGATGATCTCACATTTGATAGCTAGGAGTTGACCATGAAATAAAAAGTTTATGTTTGAAATATCAAATTCCATTCATTTATTTTAGATGGTTGTGAATGTTTTTTAGCAAGTCATACCATCTTGATAGAAAAGATCTTTTAAGGTGGTTCCAAAAGTTATGGTAAGTTCTTTTAAATTAAATTATGTCTTTATTTGTTTCTAAAATATAATGAATAATCAAATTTATTTCTAAAATATGCATCTTAACTCTGTTGCATACCTTGTTCAATATTACTAAATTTTACAAGTGTAGTATGTTGCCCAATCAAAATATGGGCCTTACTATACTATAATAATATAATTTGGAAAATAAGAACTGTGTTGTACTTCACATATATCTAAATTGGATTATCATTTCTAAATTTTATTATTTCAAGACCAAGTTTTAGACCTTGATGCATCTTTTTAAATACAGGGAAATGTATTTGTAAAATCTAGCCACCATTGGTAGTCTGTATGTGGTGTTAACACGTAGCTTAATATAAAAAGTTGATAAGAAAAATAAAATATAAATTATTTTCTTTTAATTAATGGATTATTATGATTAATTTAACTAATAAAGGTATTATCGTGTCTTCTAATTTTATTTATTTATTTCTTAATCTTTGGATCTTTTAGTTACATGCCAAGAAATTTTGGTATATTTAGTATTTTTTATTTGTGAAGAAATATATTATTAATCTTGAATTATTTTATAAATAATTATAAAATATTACTTTTTGCATAAATATAGTGTTTATGAGTTTAAATCTTCAAGGGGTTTTTTAAATTTTATTTGGGTGAATACATCGGTTTTTTTTTTTTTTTAGCTTTATAAAACAATCTTGATTTTTTTATGAACGTTATTTCAACTCATTGTGTATCTATTTTATTCTATATATAACTCTACTTTAAAATTGTTATGTTCCTTGTGGTTTTAAATCTAGTACAGTACTGGATTCTATAAATTGACTAATTGATTAATTGATTGTTTTTCTTATTATAATTTTTGTTCAAAACCAATTTAATTAAGATTAACCAACACCCCTATTTGGTTACATAAAAAAATTAAACCTTGTAAACATGATTCTACAGCCAATACATCATCAAATGAACTTTTGGTCATCAATATAAATAAATAAATAAATAACACACACACACACACACACACACATACATATATATATATATATATATATATCAATTTACTCATCTAAATTATGATCTAATATAATAATTTAATAGATTCTTAACCATTGAGAAAACTTTACATGTAGTAACTTGTGCAGTAAAGAGAAATCTTCATAAACATAAGTATTCATATATCATAGAGTTACATAAAAGATGTGAAATTACATTTTTCAAAGCCTAAATAACAAATAGGAACTCCAATAAATATATAAATATAAATATATATATATATATTGATCAAGTATACTCCATTTTGAGAGGGATCATAACAAATTATTACTACTCTATAAAACAATGAAAAACTTTACTAGATTTTCAAATTTATGGTGGAAGAAGAATATGAAAGTAGATTGATATTGTCTTAATTGATAACAAACTAGCCTGTATATTTATAGAACCAACACTATAAATGTTTATGCTAGAAAATTCCAAAATTGAGTTTTTTTCACCCTTGATATAAGCTAATATAGATATGCTGCAAAAATTGTTTTTTACATATGTGTGTATGGAAATTTTACTTTATTTGTTGAATTACTTGAAAAAGGATATTTCTGCAAGACTCAAGTCAATTTTTATTCTATACTGTTTACATTACAAATTATATGTTTTTGTGATACTTTTTATGTAGTAATATAAAACATATAAACATAGTAACTTCTCTTCATTCAGCTTCCGAATTAATAGATAAATTTTAATGAAATAGATGAGCGGTTTCAGGTGAATATTTAATCACCAATTTCTTGCATTGGATTAAGAAAGGGCTTTTGAAGATATATATGTTCATATACATTAGAATTACATAAGCTTGCAAGCATTCATCCATTGGAATTTTAAATAGACCCGATTTTTTACTAAATTGATCCATCCATCCTAACCATAATAAAAATCAAAATAAAATGACCTCTAGATTCATTTCTCCACTATTGTATTGAATCTGCAACCAATGAAAACCAATCACATTCATCCTGATTACCATATTCTGCTTCGAAGGAGGATCTATTGAGTAAAAGAATAAGTCTACTTAACATTTCCCCTCATTTAGTCTAAATGCTGTGAACATGTACAAGGGACCACGTGAGGCACTAGTGGAAAGTAACCACTGCCACGGCAGTCGAACAGAGGATGTCAGAATATGGTTCATCCATAAAAACATTCATCCACAAAGAGAGCCTAGTGGAATCACGGGACGGAACGGAAGCTGTGGATCTCAGCAGGTGAGGCGCACGAGCCCAGTTAAACGAACTGGCGCCGCGGCCTCGCTTCTCGCCTCGACTCGCTTTCCTTCTCCCCGTGCCCGCCCCCGATTCCGCTCCCCCCTTTTTCTTCCGTTTTAGTCTACTCACATGCATGCCAGATCGACGCAATCGCACACACCAAGGTGTGTAACTGGAATCATCGGAGTCGTTGTCGTTGTCTTCTTCTTCTTGTTCTTTCTCTACGTTGTCATTGTCATAAGTTAGCCGGCAAAGCTTCGAATCCGACTTGTCGCGTCGGGATCCGGGAGTCAGTACGTACTTCGTATCAGCTCACCAGAAAGCGAGACAGATTTTAGACTGTGCGGGTGTGGCTGGTGGCGCGGTGAGACCTGTGATCGATCGCTGGTCGGGTCTGGTTCTGAGTGTGGCATTGTTTATTAGCGTACTGGCGCGTGCGACGCGGCGGAGAACCTGATTGCGAGGTTAGCTTCATGTTGAATTGGGTTGGAAAGATTGCGGATGTATGCGTGTGTGTGAGGGAGAGAGAGAGAGAGAGAGAGAGAGAGAGAGAGAGAGAGCGAGAGAGAGAAAGTGGCGCTAGATTTATGAAGGCGATGGGTGAGCTCATTGCGGGGGGCGATTGCTGTAAACTAGACATTGATTGTGCGATAATGTAAGGATAGATCCATAAACGAAATAGCGGAAGAGTAAACATGAGCAATAGCAGAAGACACCCTAGATCATCAATATCACACGTCGTCTTGCTACCCTCATTCTCATTGTCACCTTGCCGCACTGAAGCTAGTGTTCGTGACTTACATCTGAAATCCTACATTGACGACTGATGGTCTTAGCAATATCGTGACGAGAGAAGACGGCACCGCAATTGCAATTACAAAGTTGTATGTGTATATATATATATATATATATGTGTGTGTGTGTGTCCTTTTGTCTTTTTCTTTTTTCCCGCAGATTTTCAATTCTCTCCATTCGACTCATCTGGCAGGTTGAACTACAGGTGTGGACGTTGATGGGTTGCCGATGGCAAGAAGGCAAGAGCTGTCCGCCGTGAGTTGGAAATCGGAGGTGCGAATCTTAGATCCAGGGTGGTGGAGAGATTCTTCGGGGGAGAGTCTGAACTTCGGATGAGTGATCCCCCGGGGCACATGGAACCCATCGAAAGTCCCGGAAAGAAGGCTTCAGCTGGCTATTATGACCGACTCGATCATGCTGCACTGGGATTACCTTCTGTCACGAGCAAGTTCATCGGACCAGGCCATGCGGAGACCGTGGCCGCATCTGAGAGGTTTGATAAGGCGGGGCTGCTGGCCGCTCATCTAGCAGCTCTACACGATGCCTACATGCTGGAGCGGGGATTGTTGCCTGGCAGTTCGTTGCCTGATAGCGAGGCGCCTCCAATTCCGCCTGTGTACGCTGAGTCCCCATGGAAAGAATTCAAGTTGATGTCATTCGCTGAGATGAAAATTGGAAAGACGCATCGGAAACATGCTCTGGAAGGCCGTCTGTGTGCGAAGTCTCTAAAAGTCACGTCTGTGGTCAGTGCTCTTCTTTCTTGGATTGTAGTAAAAAAAAATTATTCGCTTTTGCAAGTGATTGCGTTCGATAGAAATTTAAACCTATTCATTGGGCTTTTCAGGTGAATGTGCTGGAGGAAGACTCGGGCCTTGCAACGAAGCTAATCTTGACGAATGCATTGCCAATGAGAGCCAGTATGGTCCAAGCTCAAAACTGCTACCCCGAGGGTGCACGGGTAACGGTGAGAGATCCTTATCTCACTCGGTTTCCTGATGGAGTGGTGGGAGTGCTAGTTGAACGACCTCATGACATCGCTTTTCTGTCGAGGCCTGAGAATACGGGGGAGAGAGGTACCACAATATATGGGGCTGTCGGGTTGGAAGGCTATGACGACGGTATGTATGCTCAAATCACGAGCCGAGACCAGGAGGATTTCTCCAGAAAGATTCATTTGTTTGAGCAGCAGATGAAACAGGAGGGTGCTTATTCTTCAGGAGTTCCTGATAGCTTTGAGAGGAAGGCAGTATTGCACTCCAAGCCACTTCATTATGACACAAAGGGAAGTGTTCCTCCTTCTAAGGACGAATCGACAGAAAGAAGCTCACCATTGAATGACAGGACGAAAGAACCTGAAGCGTATGAATCAATCACTGAACGTAGCACTGTGGAAGGAAGTCTCCCACCTGCCACTAATCATGTGGTATCGCAAACGGATCTGTCAAGAGGAGGCGTGAAAGAGTCCAATGAATGTGAAGAATTTCAAGTTGCCTTACGCAACGATGATGGTGCCACTTCATATGCATTGACGGGCTCTGAAAATTCTCCTTGTGGAAAGGAGCTTCCTGAAGAGGAAACTTTCTTAGATGCTGCTGTAGCAGATGCATTGTGTGGTGACGATAAGAAGTTTGGCGAAGAGGTGGATAAGAGTGGTACTACAGAGTTGGTGGGTAGCAAAGACGCTGACACAACTTCTACAGGATTGAGTGGATCGATCAGCAAACGTGAAGCCGAAAACCTAGAGAATGGTACTTATGCGGAAGAGAGTGCTACAGATGTAAAGACACAGCTGAGGATTCCAGAAGTCTCCTCGGAGAGAAAGATTCCGCTCATACGGAAGCAGTTTCAGCGAAGCGACAGTTTGTTAGCAGTGCAGGAAGTGGAAGATTGTGAAGCCATTGGAGACAACCATAAAGCTCGCGGGGAATCCAACACTGTGGAGGCTGGTGAATCTGAGAGATTCAAGGAACTGGGACGCGAAGAGCAGAGGAAAAGCTGTGACGTACAAGAGCGCGCAACTCAAGTTAATAACGACTGGGTTGAAACACATAGCGCCAATGAACTGAGAGTACTGGGCAACCTGTTGTTCGGAGAGGAGAATTACGAGGGCGCAGCAGATCTTTACACCAGGAGCATACGCTTAGCAGAGGCTGAGGAGGAGCGACAAGGGAAACAAGTGTGTAAGGGCGAGATTATACTTGGATACTCTAACCGTGCCGAAGCTTACATCCGGCTGGAGGAGTATGGAAAGGCGTTGGCAGACGCCCTTATGGCTTTGTCACGAGATTCTAGTCACCTCAAGAGCTTGTTTAGGAAGGGAAGGGCATTGCTCAGGCTTAGGCAGTACGAGCAGGCACTCACTACTTTGCAGGTGCTAAACCGTGAGGCCTAAATATTTCATATATTGTTTTTAGTTGAATGTGGTAGCTCCTGTTACAATCTTAGTGCTGATTTTGTGATGATCTTGATCACTTTGTACAGGTAGCTGCTCCTCGAGCTCCGTCAGACAAGGACCTTCAAGCTGCGCTACACGAGAGCAGTACCGGTGTGCAGCAAAGCTGCTATGGCCATTACGACCTGTCGCATTACTACTTGAAGGGGAAGCAAGCAGGAGAGTCACCCTTTTGCGCTGACTATATTGGCCCTGTGATTATCACCGATGTGGGCAGGGGTCGTGGACGGGGTCTTGTCTTGACGAAAGATGTGGAAGCAGGGGAACTGCTGCTTGTGTCCAATCCTATCGCTAACTTGCAGTTGCAGGTGGATCACACACGCCGCGAAATTTCAGAGGCAATCGTGAATGGGAGGGTCCAGGAAGGGTTTCTCAAGGTTCTTGATGCTGCGCAAGCACACAAGAATGGCCTCGAAAAACTGCTGATGCTCTGCGACGGAGAAAAAGCTCTTCCGGCTCCGCCAGTAAATTATACCGAGTTAGACTCTGCAACTCAGAAGCATTTGGATGCTGCAAGCTTCCGCCGTATCATTCAGCTCAACGCAATTAATGGTGATGCCACCATGGGGTGGAAGAATCTGCCTTGCTCGGGGGAGCAAAACAGGAAGGTCTGTGTGCGTCATTCTTAATACCTTTCGTTCCGGGTTGAATTCTATCCCTAGTCTGTGTACAGGAAGTGCGTCTTTATACTTACAAGGCTGTCGTCTGATAAGACAAATGTGACCTACTTGCAGGTAGACCACTGGGGGCTGTGGTGGTTGCCCTCTTTCATGAACCACTCGTGCCTTCCAAGCTCCTCCCCAATCCGTGTTGGCAAAGCACTCTTCGTGTTCGCATCCCGGGACTTGCGTGCGGGCGATGAAGTCACGCGCGCCTACTTCGACATCTTCCTGCCTCTCGATCAACGGAAAGAGCTGAGCATGAAGGGATGGGATTTCGCATGTCACTGCCCACGTTGCAAGCTGGAGGACGCATTGGACGCCTCCCTTTCCAAAGTCACCGAGCAATACACGAAGCTGGTAAGGGCACATCACGCTAATCCCAACCACTATTGATTCCACTCGTTCTCCGTGGTCATGTATTCTGAAAAAGCTCTTCCTTGCCCCGCAGATGGAGCTGGCAAGCAAACCCAAGTCCGAGCTGGGTACAGACGACAAACTGTCCGAGATCCAAACCTCGGCTGCTATGAAATTCTTGCACAAACTGGAAACCAAACTGAGGGACTTCAAACTGAACGCCGCCGAAAGCAACTGGGTGCGCTGCTCTTTCCTTCACTACATCGATATGATCAGCGTCGACCACGAGCTCCACACTCATCTGGAAGGCATTGTGGAAGCGCTTGTCACAGTTTGCCCCGGCAATGAAACCACATTACACATGACGGTGGTTGCCAAGGACTCAGCAAGGAGAACATTCGGCAAGAAATCCCCCCAGTTCAAAGCTGCCAACCAACGCGCCCTCAACATTTGCCGCTTCACATACGGGAAGCAGAAGGTTAGCATTCTTCAGTCTGTAGTTGATAGGAATGACTATCAATCTTAGCACTTCCACGCCCCTGCTTAGTTTTTCGTTTTCAATTTCTCCCCCATTATTTTTCTTTTTCTTCTTCTTCTTCTTTTCCCTTAGGGTGGCAAAGATCTGTGTGATTCCTCAACGTGGCTTAACATGTTGGCCTACCAATGATGTGAATCGTGTAAGAAAACGGTGCCAGTAGAGCGACAACATTCTCAAGCTTTCACCGACAAGCTGGCCTTTTAAAGTAAATAGCAACTTAAGTTTCAGTTCAAGATGTAAATGATCTGATAGCTGATAGGAGTTTTTAGTGTGGACAGGAATTATTTGGGTTCACTGGGTTATACTGGTGCTGTAGATGAGTTTCTTTATCCATCCTCACTAATTACGTTTCTCAATGCATTAAACGGTCAAATGGAATAATAGAGTATTTATGATGTAACACTACAGAAAGTAATAATGAGACCATTGTTATGATCCCTACATTAATAATTGTTACAGTGCGAGTTTTGAATGATAAGCATTCTGTTCATTCTGTTTTGCTTTTGGTGTATATTGAATGGTGTTATTTGCAATAGAAATCTTATGTTGATGCGCTTAGAAAAGAGTTTCATGTTAAAATGCGTTTGGTTTTACCAATTAATGAAGCATGGATTAATTGAAACTCTGGTGCAAATGTTGGTCTTACAGTTGACATGAAACAACCTCTCTAAGCTTAAGCTATTTTTAGATGAAGCATGTGGAGTAATTCAAATTGTTTTTAGGACAGTAGTTGTACAATGTTCTGTGTCTAGGTTTGTTGTAAATTTTATTTTGTATGTGTGAAGAAATGTCTTTAATGTGTTCTAAAACAATAAAGTTATGTAATATTTTTTTTTTGCAATTTGCATAACTTGTATAAGATGTAATTCAAATTTGTGTGCAAATATTATTGTAACATTAATTATAACATAATAATTGTTGATGCCTTATTCAACTATATATATATATATATATATATTTTTGTAACATCCTAAAAAACTTTTTATGAAGTTTTTTAGGACACGCTTCTCTTTTTCATGAAGCATCTTATTCTATTAAAAAAAAAAAAAAAAAAAAAAAAGTCTAAAAATTCAGAAAGCTTACGTAGTGGAGAATATATAAATAAATAATTTATATTCTAATTTTAGAATTCTAAGAATAATTCCATTTAAAGGAGTAAATATAAAGATGTTGATTCCTAAAGTATAAGTCAAGAAGAGGCAACAAATTAAGTGTCCAAAATCATTGAAAAGACATATTTTTCTTATAATTATTTTTCAATTTAAAAAAAAAATCAGCACCTATCAACATCTATGCAAGGCATAAATGATTGGTAGAAAGAAAAGAAAAGAAAAGAAATGGAGTAATAGCCAAAAAAGAATAAAAAATGAGAAGAATGCTAAATTCTAAAAATTGTATATAAAAAGGAATTTTTTATTTACTACTTTCATAGTGAAGTAACATTGTCTCAAGGGTATATTGTGAGTTTTGTCTCATCAAAAAATCTCAAAAGGTAGCCTATATGATAGACAATCCATTTTCAAAAACTTAAGCATTTTAGTATACATTCAATATGTATAAAAATGGGAAAAAAATACTCCTATGTAGAGAAATAGAAATCAAGAGGATTCCAAGTGTTTTCATATAATTCGGTAAAAAAAAAATTATATAAATATTTTAGTTATAGATTCTATCATGGACATACATACTTACTTTGATATTTACTTATATAATTAAGTAGAAGTAGGTAAAAGTAGATTTATTTCATAATATGTTCTAGAAAAGCTTCTTGGAAGCTTTATAAACTTTGCTTTGACTATATATGTGTTTGCACTTCATTGGTAGGTTAAAAACTTAATGAAAAAGTTAATCACATGTTGTTAGCTTGTGAAACAAGCTAACTATGTGGTACACATATAGAAAACTTGTCTTGCAAGTTAAGATGCATGTCTTATAAAGTCAACATGTTTTGGAGGTTTTATAGGACATTGGAACATAGCTCCTAATTAAGAGTATATGTAGAGGCAATAGTGAAGCCTTCTTCACTCTTGTCAATGCCTATCTAGTTTTTAAGCTTGTTTCAAATTTTTATAGTTTTTTTGTCTTTCGCAACAGCTATTTTATTTTAATACTATATCATTTTTGAATGATTTTTTAATCTTTTTGAGTGATATAAGAGTGTATTCATGTTTTCTTTCTTCAAGATTCATGTCTTTGACAATTGAATAAAAATAATAACTTACAATTCTTGTTTTGTTTTAGAAGTGAGTACATCACCCTACTTTTATTATTGTATTTTGAAGGTTGTAGACTATCCACCTTTAAACAAATAATCTTGTTTCCTAACATTAATGTTTTTCTTTGAAGAAAGTAGATTATTCCTCTTTGTAGAAATTTTCATTTGATATAAGAGATAACAAATTATTTCCTTCTAATTTAACTTTTTAAAATTATTTGAATTGTCTATGGAAAGAAAGATTATAGATGCTACTCTCAACAAAAGTGAGAATAGATTTGCAACTATTATAGATCTTTATATACTTGTTAACACTCGAAAAGTCAAAATTTTACATATTTCTAATGTGAATCATAGAAGACTATTTCTATACCTATGGAAGAAGTTCAAAGTCTATATTAAGAAATTATGTAGTTGAAAGAAGGAAGTAGATCAACATCACAACTAAATCTAAGAAGTTTTGTTTCTACAAGTATAATGAAGACAAAGATTAGTATGCTCAAGAAGTTTGATGGAACAAGATTAATATTTTGAGGATTTTTGCAACAAATCAAGTTCTATTTAAAGTTGCATCCTTTCTAATATCTTAATGGATTCATCTTATTTAGATTCGTAAGCATATTTTTATCTAGAAGTGCTCTCTCTTGGTTTGCACCTTTAATGAAAAAAGATTCATAACTCTTATATGATTTAAATTTATTCCTAAAAATATTTAAGGATACATTTGAAAAAAGTAATTGAAAAAGAAAAACAAAAATCAAGCTCTTATCGTCACAACTAGATTCATGGTTAGTCACCATATATGCTATTGAATTCCAAAACATCACTTGTAATATGGATTGGAGTGACAACACCTTTAATAATAAATTTTAATATGGATTGTAGGATAATATCAAAGATTTGTTATTGATAATACCAAAAGCAAATATTTAAAATAATTTATTACTCAAGCCATTGCATGTGACAATTAATTATTTGAAATGCTTCAAGAATAAAAACTTCATTGAAAAGAAATAATTCAAGTAATGATGGCAATTTCCAAGTTTTTCAAAACTTATTCATCAAAGCCAAAATCAATGCAAATTAATATAGTATGTTTTAAATCCTTGACAAAGTAGGGAAAGGCTTAACATAATTAAGAGGATTTATGCTTATATTGTAGAGAAGCTAAACACACTATTTAACATTATCTAAAAAAACAATACAATTATAAATGAAGAGTACAATTGCCAAAGAAGACAATGTGTCAAAAAAGAAGTTTTTTCAGCTACAATAGAGATTATGGAGCTATAATCATATACAATATCAAGTAAAGGTTATATTCTCTCCTCAAATCCCTCACCTCGTTTTACATTAGATGTATATTTAGGACTTAAAAATTACTAAGTCTTTGTATTATTAGATTCAAGAGCTTGAGCCTATTTTATAGATAAAGACTTTGTCAAAAAACAAAAAATATCTTTAATCAAGAAAACTAAATTTTTACATGTAGAAGTCATAGATGGTCATTCATTATCTTCTAGAGATATTATCTATGAGATTCTTCTTTTAGATGTAGCAATTAAAGATCATAATAGCATAATAATATCTAATATAATAAGATCTCCTTTTAATCTAATTATTTTAGAATTATTGTGGTTAAGAAAATACAATCCTCAAATAGATTAAATTTCTTCAAACTTTAATTTTTCTAATTTTTTTTATCAAAAATCTCATTTATTAAGTAGAATTATATAAATTTAATATATCCAAATCTTTATGATAGGAGCAAGAGCTTTCATGCATGCTATAAAAAAAGAACATCTTTTGCTATATATGCCATGCCTATTTTTTATGCTGTAAAGACATTAAGTAGTATTCTTAAGCAATATTGAGATTTTTAAGACGTTTTTGAAAGAAGAATGCAAATATTCTTCTAAAACATTGACTTTATGATTGTTCAATTGATCTATAAGAAAGAGCTCAACCACTATTTGGATTGATCTAAAACTTATCACAAAATGAATTGGTTGCATTAAAAGAATCCATTTATGAAAATTTGGCTAAAAACTTCATATATCATTTAAAATCTCTAATAAGAGCTCCTATCTTATTTGTGAAGATAAAAGATGGATTTCTATGAATATATATAGATTATTAAAGACTTAATAAGATGTCACGGCTATAATCATGTAAGCTAATAATTACATATAGAAATAGATAGAAGTAAGTAAAAGTAGATAAAAGTAAGTTAATTCTATAGTATTTAATATGGAAGCTTCCTAGAAACTTCCTAGATGCTGCTTTGACTTCATAGGTGTCTTTAATTGACTTTTTGGATTAGAAACGTGGTCAACAAGTTGGCCATGTGCCACACATGTTGATAGCTTGAAGATCAAGCTAACTATGTGGCCCACAAGTAGAAAAACTTGCCTTGTAAGTCAAGGCATGTGTCCTACAAAGTCAACACATATTAGAGGTCCTATAGAACGTCGCCACGTAGCTCCTAGTTAGATAGTATATATAGAGGCAAGAGTGAAGGCTTCTTCACTCTTGTCAACTCCTTTCTTGCTTCTAGTCTACTTTCAAGGGTCTTTAGTTTTCTTGTCTTTTGGCAATAGCCATTCTAGTTTCTCTTTCAATATATATACTTGTTTATGTATATTTTGTTACCTCTCTTTGAGTGAAGGCTCACTTGTCTAAATTATTTTTTCATCGAGTTCTTATCCTTGACAGATTGACAAGAGTATACCTACAATATCAGAGCTTTGTCTAATCTTGATTAAGAGTGGATTACCCCTTTTTTCTTGATAAGATATAAGCGTATTAGAAGTTGCGGATTACCCTCTTCTAAACTGATATTGTCCTTAGTATTTTCTTTGTCCGCAAGTCCTCTCTTCTATTTGTCTTGAGCGATATTAGATATCTTCTCTCTTCTAAGTGTTATCATAGCAGAACTTCTTGAAATGAAGAGTGCAATGGCACAAATGCAAGAGCAATTGAGGGAGTTAATGCTTGCAATGCATCAACTCAATTTACCACCAGAAGGAGCAACAAGATTGGCAAGAAGTGAAGATATAGAAATGGTTGGAGCTGCTTCAACATCTGTACCAAACCATGTCCTTTCTCCTATGGTGGAACGTCCTTCAAATGTTAGAGAACCAAGAATTGCCCTACCCGAGAAGTTTGATGGCACGAGATCCAAGTTTCGAGGATTTATCAATCAAATGCAACTTGTGATTGAACTTCAATC